AACTTACTTTCAAAAACAGTTTCATATTTTCAGTTACATTCATTGCCCATTTAGCATCTTCTTTAGGCAATAAATCTTCATCGATTAATTTTAAAATCGCAGCTAACGTTAATTCAGATTTTTTGGTTAAGAATTTAAAAACTTCTGTAACAGCATTTGCACGATACTGAAAAAATGTTTTTTTATATACTTATATTTCAGCAACCGTAATTAGATACATGGTGTGCTAAAGTTATGATAAACACAGTATATACATGAAAATGTAAATATATACCTTCCCATTTGTTATACTTAATTTGAAGTCTAAATCTTCTTGAGTCATCCAAAATCTCCATAACCGATAACTATATTGAGAACCAGGTATCTTTATCTATAATAAATACGTATCAAAGTTAGTACCTGTTAAAGATAAAAATAAAATAATTTAAAGTATTTTGGTATTGAATGCTTAAATTGCAAAAAATTAAATCCATTCCCAACTATGACGAGATAAAACAATGCGAAGCGAAATAATAGTTTGTGTCTCGTTACATTCTACTACTGTCCGCGGTTTGGGCCATTGCTTGCGGGATTGATACCATTGCGAATGGATTAATAATAAACAGAGCAATATAAAGCAATGTAAAAATAAATAATGTTACAGACTTATTATGTAAAATACAAATAAAATTACAATCAAAATATTAAATAAATATGTAATGTACCGAAATAAAATTATGAAGAAAAATCATAAAATTTGTAAAGATTTACTTTTGTTGCAGATCCAGTCATTTCCTTAAAATATTGCACAGCTTTTAAAAGAACAGCTTTCATTTCGCTATTTACTTTACTTGCCCTTATATCACCAGAACTTTCTTGGTAAAAAATATTAAGATCTTTTAAATCTACCACTGCATCAATATCCAGTAAATGTAAATTTTCTCCAACTAAAACTTTTAAAAGTGGTACTAAATCTTCTGCTTTTTTACAGATTGGACCTGCTTCTGCCATTGAATTAGGACGGTTCTTCTGTCGTAGTCCAACACCTTTCAATGGTGTTAAATCTAAAATTGTTAATTAATATTAAACCTAAAATCC